ATTTCATTATTTGACATTGAAGCCCTGTATGCAGCCAAATTTTCAGGAACACGCAGTGTTAGATTGAATCGCTTTTTATACTGAGCCCACCACCATTTACTAGCAGACTCGTTTTCTTTATTGAAGAAGTGATCTCTCTCCGTACGTTGTGCTAGTTGAAAGGGTATCTTTCTTATCATCTGCACCGTCAAACCAAAACCCAATTCTTGCATTTTTTATAATGTAATTAAACAACTGAATTTCAACTTCTGCAGTAAGAGCAAACGGCCTTCCTAGTTTGGCAACTTGGTGATTGTCATCTTCATTTCTACTTAAAAAAATCTTTCAGTGTACTCCAGGCTATTCCACTTTGTTTACTTGCCTTGTAGATGGATAGTTTTCTCTACTCTTACAAGTCTTGAGGCTTCTAATAAATCGGAGATCTCATATTGGCGATATTTTCCTTTGCATATTTTAGGCATTTTGAATTCTAAAAAAAAGACACAGGTAAGTTCGTGATACCCTGGATGTTAGAAAATCTTCATAATATTTATAGTTCACATTTTCCCGCGCAAACAAACGTTAAAATGCGTAAGAAAACCGCCTCACAACTTAAGCTATTTCAGAAAACTGTTGGCGAAAATTGCCTGTATAACTTAACGGGGGTACTAAGCAACTTATAAACAACATCATACGTAATTTTTACAAACTTACCTTTGCAATATTCACCATAAATAATAAAACAACGAATGCACTTCAGATTTCAAGCTCTCTCGTCAACGCAAGGAATAACACTCATAGTACATACCCCCTATACATACATTGGGTATGTATTGTGATAACACTGAAAAATAAGTTTTATCCCGGTTCAACAGAGCTTCGCAATTTGACTTGCAGTGGTGGGGAAGGTTGTCGAGTCTTTCCGCTAGAGACTGCAACAAAACTGCTGCTATCAGGCAATAGGCTAGATCGTGACGAATTATTAGAAATTTATCACGAATTTACTTATATCACGAATATACCTTACTTCACCCTACATTAAACTCATGGACTTATAACTTATCCTTCTATATTTCTCTGGGTCTTTTTATTTTTAACATTTTTATTTTTTTTCCTTGCGATTACAATCTAGTCATAAGTAACCAATAAGCAATTTTAATCTATCCTAAATTACAAAAGTTGCTTGAAATCAAGAGTTTACCCTACGGTGTTCTCTTAATCTAATCTGATAAATAACGCACTAATGTTAACGTGCACCACGCTCTACTTTTTCACTGTCGCTTAAACTTATTCGAAGGGCTTTGTCGTCTTTCAGTCTTCTAGTTAGTCCTATGTTGTCAAGGAGTTGGATTGCTTCAACATTCACATGGCTATGGAGTCGTTTTTCATGATTTTCAGCCGTCTTGACCACAGTTTCTTAGCTAGGTCCTTATGGAGGTCGCTGTTCCTCATGTATTCACAATGTTTCTCAATACTTTTTTCTGAAATTTCTGGAATATTTCTATATTATTTTTCTTGGCACACCCCAGCGTTAGTTACCAAGTCCAAATAGGTCGAAGTATTTGTTTATAAAGTAAAAGCTTGTTGTATATAGATAGAGAGGACTTTCTTTCAAGCATCTAATACATTTTTTTTGTATCTTATGCCAAGTTCTTCTTTTTTTTAACATCAACTTCCCAGCGTAGTTGTGCATCTAATGTTATACCTAGGTATTTTGCCCTTTTTGCATATAGTACTTGGTTATTTTAATTGTAACTGGTATATTTTGTATCTTTTTACTGGTAAAGTTAACGTGTACAGGTTTATTTTCGTTCAGCCTAATTTTCCATTTTTTGTCCAAGAATGTATTTCGTTAACTACTATTAGTAGTTTATTTATTGCCTTTTTGACATTGTCATCTACCGCTAAAATGACAGTATCATCAGCAAAGATGACAATCATCATCATCATTCTGGTTTTACAACCCTGCGTGGGTCCTAGCCTCCTCAAGAATTTCTCTCCAGTCGTCCCTATCCATCGCCTTACTCCGCCAAGTAAGTATTCCCATATTTCTCATGTCTTCATCGATGTTGTCAAGGAACTTTGTTCTGGGTCTTCCTCTTCTTCTCTGACCAATGGGTCTATCAAAGAGCGTTTTTCTAGCTGGATCATTTTGTGCCATCTGTATTACATGTCCTATCCACCTCAGACGTCCTATCTAAATATGTTTTACAATAATAGGTTCATGGTATATTCTATAAAGTTCGAAGTTGTATCATCTTCTTCACACTCCATTGTCATTCACTGCTCCATAAATTCGCCTTTGTGCTTTTCTAACATGTTTTCATAATTTTTTGTTAGAGTCCAAGTCTATTATATGGTAGCACAGGGCGTATTATTGTTTTGTAGAGTTTTTTGTATTTCTCGATATAATTGTGGATTTAAGGAGGAGGTTGATCCCAAAATAGCATCTGTTGGCCGTGCAAATTCTGCGGATTATCTCTGCGGTAGTATTAGTTAAGGAGAGTAATGTTAAGGAGCGCTCCCAGGTATACGAATTCGTTCACTGCTTCGACGACGTCGTTTTCTATAACGAGGGAGCGTAGGATATACTAACGACGAACTAATAACGAGTAGCATATACTTCGTTTTGTTGATGTTTATTATTAAACCCATTTTTGTAGCTGATTCTTTTAATGGTACATACGCTACTCGTACAGCGTTTTCCGTTCTCACAACAATAATGATATCATCAGCATAGATCAGGATTTGCACCGATTTATTATATATTGTACCAGTGGTTGTGATTTGTGACATACATATTACTTTTTCTAGAGCCATATTGAATAGTATACAGGAGAGAGGACAAGAGTTAGTTTTGTTAAATTTACCAATTGATTTATTATTCCTAGCTTTTTCATTGCTTTGAACATTTCTCTTCTCTTCACAGAGTCGTAGGTTGCTTTGTAGTCTATGAATATGTAATGAGTATCAATGCCACATCCCAGTGTTTTTTTTTCCAAAATTTGTTTCAATGTTGCAATCTAATGAATTGTCGATTTACCACCTCTGAAACCAGCCTGATATTTTCCTACTATCCGTTCTGCATATGGTGCCATACAGTGACATAGTACTATGGAAGAAATTTTATGCGCTGCATTTAGAAGCGTTATTCCTCTGTGGTTAGAGCATTCAAAGATATTGTTCTGAAGATATTTTCATGTGGCATTTTTAAGTAAAGGTTAAAGTACGTTTATTGACGTTTTAATTTCCACTTCGGAAGTCGTTCTCAAAATCGACCTGTCTGCAATATGTGTCGAAACTGCCGATCGGCTGGACTATTGAACTGCAATACCGCTGACAATCGGGGTTATTGTACCGCAATTTGCATGACGGTGCATCAAGTGGACACTTTGGTATTATGAAGTTTCTGCAAAAGGTTCGAGAACGGTTCTATTGGGTGAACTGTAAAGATGATGTAAGAAAATGGTGCCGGAAATGTGAACTGTGTGCAACCAGTAATGGTCCAGTTGGTAAAAAGAGGGAACCCACAAAACAGTACAATGTTGGTAATCCTATGGAGAGAGTAGCAATCGACATTGCAGGTCAATTTCCAGAAACAAATGATGGAAATAAATATATCCTGTTAGCCATGAATTATTTTACAAAATGGTTTGAGGCCTATGCGATACCAAATCAAGAAGCAGCTACTGTTGCAGAGGTACTTGTTAAAGAATTTTTTAGCAAATTTGGTGTTCCCTTCGAGATCCACTCGAGATTGATACCAGCACATTCATTAATTTCTTCTAATCTTCTTCAAAGTTTTTTTGAGTTTTGGGTCTTTTCAGTTTTCCCAGATCTAGAATTTCCTTTCTTGGTTGATTCTCTTTTGCCTGTCGGCTGTTCCTACATCTGAAGTGAGAATGCTTGTTGCTGATCGCTTTTTTATCAAGATGTGGTCTATTTGGTTCACAAAATCCTCTGCAGGGGATATTCAGGTGCCTTTATGTATTTTTTTTGTGAGAAATATGGTAGAACTTATGATCATGTTTTTACTAACTGCAAAGTCAATAAAATATTAGCTGTTTCCATTCATGTCTCTTGTAGGCTATGCCTCCCAGTTATTCCGATGTATTCTTTATCAGTTAATAACTTTACATTTGTGTAACCTATTACTATTTTGATGTCGATTTTTAGTGTTAGATCATATGTTTGCTCTACTATTTGGTAAAAAGCTACTTTAGTGTTCTTCTTGCTCATCTTGTTTGTTCGTTGGACAGTGAACATTTATTATTGATCAGTTGAAGACATTGAAAATCTATTATGAGGTATTTTAGTTTATTATCAACTATGAATGCTACCCCAAATTCCTTATTTCCTGTATCTAAACCACTTGAAAAGATGGTGTGTGTTTTCTTGTCCCGGATATACTTTCCTAGTCATCTTGTTTCCTGAATTGATGCCATATCAATCTTGTATATTTTCAATTCACTGAGCAAGGCGCTCAACGCTCCGAGTCTATTCAAAGTTCTATTGTTCCAAGTACCAAAAAGAAGTCCATATTCCTTTGCCTTAATATCCGCCCATCAGCTCTCCCTCTAAATGAAAGATGACTGAAAACTAAATGTTTTTATAATCTTTATATATATGCTTAAAAAAAAATAAAATCACTTGGTTTGACAGGGGAGAGGTCGATCTCACATTCGCTCCCCCATTGGATCTGCTGCTGATTCGAGTATGTTCTCTATGCAATAACATGAAGTTATTTACGATATTTATTTAAGATATTACTGCTGTGATTGCGATGGCATATTTGCATGATTTTGTGTGGTGGCATGTTTTAAGAATTATACCTTAGTAAATTTTGAGTTCATATATTACTTACAAAATTACCAAAACTACTTATTCACAAACTTCATTTTCCATCCTACAATTATTATTGAACAAGATAATAAAATAAAAACCAAAACACTGGACATTGACGAGAATGTCCATACTCTGCAAATAAATTAATTAAAAAAAAACAGTTTTTCGTCTAACAGCTTAAAAATAAATGATTCATTAAAAGGTTAAAACAGTGCCACTACTCAAAGATTAATAGAATTTAGCTTAATAAATATGCATTGTTTGAACAATATCATCAAAATTATTTTACTTTACCATCCAAGATGTATTGTTATGTATATAAAACTAATGTATCTTATCTTAAGTAATTAGGATACTAAATTTATTAAATTCACATTTGTCCACACTGTACAATAGTAACTGGTATTTTTGGTTTATTGTTAGGCCCTGTAGGTACATTTTCAATTTTTCTCATAACTAAAAGTCCATCAATAACTCTCCCAAAAACAACATGTTTTCCATCTAGAAAATTACATTTTGCACAAGTTATAAAAAACTGACAACCATTTGTGTCTTTTCCACTATTTGCCATGGATAAAAGTCCTGGTGTATCATGTTTTAAACTAAAGTTTTCATCAACAAATGTACTTCCTCCATATATACTCATCACACCGGTTCCATCACCATTCACAAAATCACCTCCTTGTATCATAAAATCTTTAATAACACGGTGAAAGCTAGCTCCTTTATAACCAAGAGGGACTGCATCTTTTCTAAATTCTCCTGTGCAAAACTGTCTAAAATTTTCACTGGTTTTGGGAACTACATCGGCAAAAAGTTCAAATATCATCCTACCGATTTCCGTAGTTCCTACTGATACATCAAAGAATACTACAGGATTAGCTGGATGCCTTAGTTGAGCCTGAATTTGATTCCAATTAGGCATAATTGATCATAAATGAACAAGTTTTTCAACTAAACTACAAAATTAGTTAATAATTAATAAACCATTAATAAACGAAAATAAATTTAGGTTAGGTTAAAGGTGGTTAAAGTAAATAAATAGGAGTCTGTGTCCTGTCCTGTGACAGTATAAGGATACAGTTTATAATCTGTGGATACAGTCACAGAACAAACAATTTTTATTCTGTTGAACCGTTGAACCCACAGCCACAGATCACCAACCTATATTTCAATTATGTCGGAATTTTGAACTAAAGATGTTTGACGTCTGACGTCGGGTCGGTAGCGTATCGTTTTTATCGTTTTATTTTTTATTACGATTTGGTCTTATCTTATTCATCCTAATCGTAACATAATTGATTTGAAAACATAGCAGTTGAGCGCAATGGCTGACGTATTAGATATTAATGATGCCGTTGATATAGATGTAGAAGATGAAGGTGAGCAAAGCGTTTTGAGACTAAAAGACAAAGTTATAAAACGAAAAGGTCGTGGTTTTGGTCCCGGCGAAGGAAGAGAGCATGAAAAAGTAAGAGGTTACGAGTCAATTGATGCTGGAGAACACGGTGATGAACCAGGGCCCCAAAAATCAGTAGAAGGTTGGATATTGTTTGCTACTTCGGTTCATGAAGAGGCTACTGAAGAAGATTTAAGTAAAAAGTTTTCAGACTATGGAGTAATAAAAAACATTAGTATTAATTTAGATCGACGAACGGGATTTTTGAAAGGTTACGCTCTAATTGAATACGGAACATATGAAGAAGCATCTACAGCTAGAGAAGCCTTAAATGGATCTTCTCTACTAGGTCAAACGATTGGAGTAGACTGGTGTTTTGTTAAAGGAGCAAAGAAGTCTAAAAAACGTAGCAAAAGACACTAAATACACATGTAAAAACAATCTATTTCAGATTAATATGTAAGAAATTTTATATTAAAATAATTTAATTTATTCTAAATAACTTATTTCCACTTTACTAAATTTTGTAAATAACATCCCTGAATGTTTTGAGTTATTTGTGTAGTATTACACAAGTACAGAGTTTTTTAAAAATTAAACATTTTGTTTAATAAAATTAAAATGTTTTTTGATATGTTTATTTTCTGTTGTATCATATGCTGAGCCTATATACTACTTTTTAGATATTATTAACATCTCTAATCCTATTCCTTTTAGAAAATCTAGGATATTGTATGCAATGGGTTTTGAAATTCTATTCCTAGGATTTTTTAAAGTATGACAGTTTAAGACTTCCATGAACCTCTTGTAGCTCTATACCTAGTGTGTAAAAAGATAATTCTTTCGTAGGTATAAAATAGTAGAGTAATAAAGTACGAGAATATTATTAATTACAATGTTCTTATATTTTTATTAACTCACTACACTTGAGGGGTATAGTTTCAAAATGTACAATATCCATGTTTCCTGAATTTTCAGTAATCAAGAAAAATGAATAACCTATTTCATGGAAACAGTTAAACTAATTTTTCTTTTCTATTACACTTATATGACAACTACAAGTTTATATACAAATAGTTTCCTTAAACTTTTCAAAAATAACTAAGCAATACTAGAAAAATATATGTATATTGTACTTTATGAAAGTAACAAATGGAGGTTGTGCACATTGAAAATAACTTACAAACATTATATATTAAACTTATTTATTTTATTGAGATAATACAACTCTTAGTGAAAAAAAGTTCACAAAGGAGATGAAGTAATGGAGTGAGATGACAAAAAATTAGAAAGTAACACTTTTAATTATTCAAAAGTTGTTAATTAAATGAAAAGTATTTCTTCTTCAGTGTTCTCACACAAAATTTCATTGTCTACAGTTTCATTTTCTGGTGCTACATTACCTTGTAAATTGTCTTCAATGATGATAAATCTGTTAAAACTCCAAGGATCTCTTTTCCAGTTTCCAATTATTCACATCAACCTTTTTGTTATTATTGACAATGTTGAGGTTTCATTCTTTCAATGTTCTTAGTTTTTTTGGTATTGATTTTCCCACACCAATATCATTCTTATAAGCTAACTCGCAGCGAACTAACACTATGCCTTGAGAGCTTTTAGTTAAATTATTCATTTTTATCTTTTAGAAAGCAAAATGCCATTGTCCTGGGGCCTTAATGTGTTTGCTTGTTTCATTTTTCCAGTCATATACTTCCACTACTTCTCCAACCTTATGAACAGTACTATACTTTGAAAATATCTCCAGATATTCATGTGGGGTCAGAATTATTTCCCTTTGTTTAATATCCTTTTGAATAGATCCAAAAACCCGATCTGGTGGCATGAAAAAATGTCCTGCCACTGGGAATACTACTTAAATTTTTCTGATTTTATCTCGTCTAGAAAACCTATAACAACACATGTGTTGTGTTGTGTTTTTATTTTGGCTGCTGCATCCATCACATATGAGTCTGATAGTATGAATATCGTCTCCAAAATACAATTCAATGATGCAATAAATGCAGGAGGCAAAGTGGTTCAAACCTTTCTTGTACTCGTTTTTTGGTCCAACAGAAAGAAGTGACAATAGACAGATTTAAAATACTTTTTGAAGTACCTCTCACAACAGTAAAATTAAACATATAAAATTCACTTAAATAATAGGCCTGTTGATCCGGAATCTTAGGCAAAACTTGATTTTTCTGACAGTCAAAAGAAAACGTTTTTACACCTTCGTCCCGTTTACTTAAAAAGCTATAAAATTCTTTGGACCTCAATGTATGTACCCTTTTTTGGGTGAATAAGTTGGCTTTCATGTCCTTATCCTGACATGCTTTTATTTTCTCACTCAATTGTAAGCATGTCAAACATGCATCGGTTCTAGGAGAACCAAAACCAAGGTTATATTGTGTATTAAAAATTTTTCCTGAAATAGCTCTCTTTTACTGGAAGGTTTTCATTTTCTTGTAAGTATATTCTCCACATCGATGTTATACTTAAAGAAGAATCCAGATATAACTGTTTACTTTGCCCTCGGCAATAATAAGATTCGATTATGCAGAATTTGTTAATAAAATCCATAACAGCATTTTTTTCAACATGTACTTTCCAGCTTTTTATCGCCACCTCGATTTTCGGTTGCAGGAAAGGAAGTTCTATAGAAATTTTTTATAACTGTATCAATTCGCCTCATAACAATTAGCCAGTTGTTATACCCAAAACATCCATGAAAGCTTTTTTGCACACAGCCAACATTTTTTTCATTCGTCAGAATATAAAATAGTGTTTGAAATGTTGGGAACTGTATGGGAAATGTTTTGCAATATTTTAGCAGAGAATTATCGTGAAAGGTTTTCTCCTTCGTTTCATAAAATTTAGAGTGGAAACATTTTATTTCGTTTATTTGTAGTAAGGTACATTGAAACGCACCACCTTTGTGTCCACATTTCGGATAAATTGGGAGCGAATGTGGACTATACCTAAAAGTAAAATACATGTCTGTACAGAGATACACAAAAACCTTTGATGCAACTTAACTAAATTGTTTTTGCTAACTTCTCCACGATGTGGTAATACATTGTCATGTACTTTAGTAAATAGACTGTACTGTTTCCCAAATCACATGCAACATTCATTGCGCATCACATGCCCTAAGTATGTAATCTTTCTCATTTTCACGATACGCATAATTTCTAGATCTTTATTCATATGTTGGATCACGGTGTTGTTTGTAACATGATGGATATGGGAAATTCTGAGCATGCGGCGGTAGCACCACATTTCGAGGCTTCTAATCGTTTGGATGTTTCCTCCGTCAAGGTCCAGGCTTCGACTCAATATAAAAGGGTAGAAAATACAAGACTCGTGTGCTTATATCGATATTGCACGCTTTGAAAAATTAGCTACTAAAAAAAAAAGAAATACATACTGGAGTTTGCACACTTTGATTTTAAATATTGGATAAGAGATAACAAAAGTATCCACTCCTGATTTAGTTTCATTATAATTTAGAATTATGTCAGGTTTTTCATTTTCAGAAATACTTGCCCCGTCATACTTGGTGAAAAGTAACAATACTATTTTATTGGGTTTTGGCAAACAGGAAACTAATGTCTTTTTCTTATAAAAGTAAAACATTGACATACCTCTTCTATTTTTAGTATTCAATAGTTATAGTGGTATTTCCTTTTTATTTTTTCCAACAAATTCCTGCAATTGTTAATTTGTATGGCTGTTTTCAAAAGTTCACCCGCCAAAGGCACTGAAGTAAACCAGTTATCCATTGGTAATGTTAAGGTTACTACCATGGACCAAATTTGCAAGAGGTAATGCTCCAGTATTCACTGCTTCAAGATAGAGACTGGCATCAATCATATATTTAGTATGAATCGTAAAGCATGACAATTTTATGTCAGACTTAGACGGTTTATTAGAAATATACCCTGGAAGGGCAGTATCTTCCTCTGAATCCCTAAAGTTGTTCATCAACCGTCACATAAGATGATGGGACATAGGAACTTCTGCATACATCAATATATGTTATGGCGAGCAAGAATAAAAGTTATATTCTCTACTCATATGGCTTGATAATTCCTTCAAACATCTGTTTAGTATTTAGATGATTGTTTTTTTTTGGCTGCAGAAAAAATCAATATTCTAATCACAGCGAGTAAGTCATATTTGCAAATTTTTGATACTGTAGCGGAATTTCCTATGTATTTGGAAGACTGTCCAGCAATATCTTCATTTGCATGATGAATAATTATGTTAACACAACCCTAAATGGAAGAATTCATATGTCCACTTAAAGTCACAAAGAAAAGGGAACTATTTCTAAAAATAAAACAATATTATCTCCAACCTCTTTTATTAATAAAAATTATACTTTCCCCAAGTTTATATTTTACAATAATCGTGTCACTGTAAAATAAAATATTCCTCAATATACTCAATTATAGAAATTTTGCTCCAAAGAGATCTACACTTTGTTAATTAAAATTGTATAAGTTGACCGGCGTACCTTGACACTTGAATTGAATATGCGCAAGTACAAACTCCTTAGTATGGGTAGGTAACGTCAGAATATAGTTATTTAACCTCAACACATTGTCCCATTTGTGCATCTTTAAGAACCAAGATACACTGGACAAATTATAACAAACTGTTCTTAAGGATATTACTTTCGCTGTTAGAGCTAAGTCTTAATTGTCTTTTATTTACTGTAACTAAAGACGTCTTACACCAATTTTAAAATTTTTCTTTACTAACGTGTGCCCATTCTGAAATCTAAATTTACTTTTAATTGTTACGAAAATCAGGTCATATTTGGTCATTATACTATTTGCACTTTGCAAAAATGATTAAGTTATTTTATAAAGAAAGAAAAACTTTTCATAGAAAGCTTATATAAAGCTTCCCATGTGAACACACTTTTTTTAATTGATACTAGAGTACCAAACGAATGTTATCGCTTTTTACATTTTATACAAATATTAGAACACACAATTAATTTTTCTTAATTTCTATTCTATGATTAATATTGTGGTGTTTATTTCAATGTGTTGATATAATAAAATTATTGTAATGTTGCTGAAAGCTGAGCAGATATTTAAACATTTTAACAAGTAATTTTCATGAAAAATATGAGCATAAAATTACCAGTGCAATTTTTACATGTCCAATGGATGTACAATTATCAATAATTAAACTAACCAACATAATATATTGGGTTCAAATAGCTTCTACATCAGGCTTGTATTGTATGTCTCAATTCCTTTTAACATAGCTTTTTATTTAGAAGCAATTGATAAGTTGGAAATATTATGTATTTCTTCCCATTAAGACATGCTGACCTTTTGAACAATGGTACATATGCTAAAACCAAATCAATAGTTACTATTTATATTTAGATTTTTCAAATGTTT